TTGAAAATCAGAATTATCGGCGATACATTGCGAATAGGTTGATGTTCCAACAGGATGGTGCTCCACCACATTACGTATTACCTGTTCCACAATATTTAGATCAGACGTTACCAGATCGATGGATTGGTAGAAGAGGTGCCATTGAATGGCCCCCAAGATCGTCAGATTTATCACCTTTGGATTTCTTTATATGGGGTCATTTAAAAAGCAAAATCTATGGTACTCAGCCAACATCATTAGAAGACCTGCGACAAAGAATTGTGAATGAGTCCCTTCAAATTACTCCTCAAACATTGCAAAATGTGCGGCAAAGTTTTGAGCAAAATCTTTATTATTGCATGGAGAGTCATGGTGGCCATTTTCAACATTTACTTGCCTAACGGGTCAGTTCATTCTTCATTTTTACGTTACTTTGCTGCAAAATGTATTGATCTCCACTAATGATGATGTATTAGTTTTATTTAAGCTTTAAATCAATAAATCTTCAAAACTACTGAACTGAAGTACATTAATTTTATATCATTATAAAGGGAATTGAAAGACCTTTAAAATAAGGTATCACTCGACCACCCTTTCTATTTAAGATTTTGGGGGTGATGTCACCGCCGCTTAGGGGGCTGCACGTGCAAACGTGATTTTTTGCCAAACTTGTGTCCCCCTCGAAAACAAAATCGACGGCTGTGAGCGTTTGTCCAAAAAAAACTGAGCTGCCAGTAATTGCATCTGTTTCGTTTTCGATGCGCCACCCTGTATAAAAATATCGTAGAAAAAACTGAAAACAGTTAAATTGTAATTGTGAATACTGATAAATGACAACTATTCTGAAGTCATCTTGCAAAAAAATTTGTAAATCTTTGTTGTTATGCGGGGTGTGACAAAAAGGTGCATTTTCCCCTAAATTTCTGAACACCCTATGGAAACATTGGATCACTGAATAATGTGACTTCGTATGAGAATTTTAAGCGTCAAATTTTCTCAACAGTTATTTTTTTTATTTATGTCAATATCTCAATTATTGAAGAATATATGCTGTTTTGAAGAAGATCATGCGAATCATAGGCATAAACAAGTAGTTGTTTCAAGCAGGCTTGGTCGGGTAAGAAGCTGTTTTAAGTAGGCTGTGTCTGATAGCATTTTTATGGCATGTCGAAAAGATTCTTGACAAGCAATACTCAACAAAAATGACACCGGAATGAGTAGCGCAAGCTGTAGCTTTACAAGATGATGGTCGTCCTATTCGGTATCGCAGAAAGGCTTACCGTTCCACGCAGTACGGTATTCGATGCGATACAAAGATTTAGAGAAACTGGTTCTAACTCAGGAAGACCTGGGCAGGAAAGACGGAAAGCAACAAATGCAGTTGAAGATCGGTTTCTGAGACTTCAAGCTCTTCGAGAAAGGACAGTTCCTGCTACAGATTTGACTCGAAGATTGGATGATGTTCATGGTACCATAGCTTGACCTGATACGGTACGCCGAAGGTTGAGAGAAGGAAGCCTATCATCTTGTTTACCTGCTACAGGTTCTCTATTGGATGTAGGTCATCGAAGCCAGCGCTTGGTATTTTCTCGAACTTATGCAGATTAGGATATGGACGACTGGAAAAACGTTATTTTTACAGACGAGTCTCGTTTCACGAGATATTCACCTGATGGTCGCCAAAGAGTATGGAGAAGGCGTGAAGAACTCTATGCTTAAAGTTGTTTCGCTCCTACAGTGCAATTCTGCGCTGAAGGAGTGATGGTATGGGGCTGTATTTCTTTGGAATTCCGCACAGATCTTGCTTCGCTCTCACCAATCTTGTCACTGTAATTTTTTAATTTAAATTGTTTATGGCTATGACTCGCATGATTTTCTTCAAAACAGCAGATATTCTTCAGTAATTGAGGTATTGACATGAATCAAAAAAAGAACTGTCGAAAAAGGTTGAGGCTTGAAATTCTCATTCTAAGACACATTATTCAGTAATCCAATGTTTCAACAGGGTGTCCAGAAATTTAGGGCAAAATGCACCTTTTAGTTACACCCTGTATAACAACAAACATGTTCAATTTTTTTACAAGATCGGCAGACAATAATAATGACAATGAAATTACCTACAACGTGACGAAAAAATTAACGAAATTGATGCACAGGTTAAAAAGTTGTTTAAAATTTAATTTGAACAAGATTTTGTTTGTCCGGTTAATTTTGCGTGGCAGTGAAGACAGTCGTGAAGTATACCTGTATACAAATAAATATGAAACATTAGAAAAAAAGAATGGTATTTCAACTTCTATATATTCTAGTCTATATTAGTTACAAAAATCAACTGTAAGGTGCTTCAGATAACTATGAGAATGTAAATGTTAGTGAATTTGCTATCTATCAACTTGAGGGCTTTGCAGCATACTCAAACTATAGTTACCTTTTTAGATTAGGCAGGATAACACTTTATTGCGCCATCGGTCTGACGGGGATTATATTGAGCACCTGCCAACATAAGCTACTATACTATAACGTATCCTTTAATGCAAAAAATTGTTAAGTACTGTGTTGAGTTACAACCTATTTTATGCTATGTACATCATCATACTTCTATTTTAGAAGCTGTCATGGAGTCAAAACCGAAATTCTGGCGTACTGCAATTTGCCGTATGAGATTAAAATACCTTGATACCAAAATCAGTAAAATTAACCTAAAGTGTATCAGAACTTCATTTACTCCGCGTCAAAACAAACATGAGCATTCGATCGCCGCAGCTTTTTGCTTGCTGCTGCCTGCCAAGGCATTTATGGCCCGCTGGGCAATACAGACGCACGAATTAACGCACTAGTGTTTGTTTTGACGGAGACGCAAATGAGATTTCAATACATTATAGAATGATTATAGTTACACATGTGGTGGATAATTACACCGGGTACCCCCTAGTGGAGAATGAAGAACCGGGAGTCTTACAGAGAACTGGGAATTTCGAAACTAGCTTTCAAACACAGCGGAGGTCCCGGGATTTTCAAGATATTAGGGACAGAACTGGTTTTGGTGTTAAAATCAAATTACACATGCCCACAAAAGATGTGAGTACTGGGGGTCCCAGCATATTTTTCCAATTTATTTTTATCACAAATTTTGGTATTTTTAGCAGATGTCCTTTGCTCAGAGATGTGATAATGCCTAAAGCCTAAACTACTTTCATATTTAATAATAATAGATGTCCTTGATTCCTTACAATAACATTGTAATGCAGCTAAGGTAAGACTTCAATGGCGAAACTTAGCGTTTGCTACTGTTACATTTAACCATAAAAGTCACTAGCAGATGTTAAAAATAATGAAATATTATTCACAACAAATTGAGATATTTAGTAATAAAGTATAACAATAAAGCTAAAACTGGCATACTTTCCAAAGCGAAGTACGCCAAAAAGTAGAAAATCAAAAAAAACTGTTGAGAACATAAAATAGTATGATTGTGTAATCAAGTCATTGAAGCAATGACTATTTCACTTTTTGTTGAAAAGCTGGTAATGGGTATTATTTATACAATTTTGGTAAGGAGTTATATATGGTGGCAATATTGTAGGGTCAAAATAAGGTTGTTGAATACTGAGATAATTTTATTTCGAAGTGGTCTGGAAGCAAAATAATTGTTAATTGCAATTTTTTTCGCAATTAAGGCGGTTTAGACGTAAAAATCATTTTCGTTTCCAATGTATTGAGTACTGGATATTTTGCTGATACATGATTAAATTTCCAGAGTCCAGCGACCTCCTAGTGTTCAGCGGGTAAAAAACAGATGGGGAAAATATAGTGGAATTCCATGCACACACAACTTTTTTAATTTGTGGGATTGTGTTATTAGTTAGTTCCTATTCCGTATCAAAACTACGGCCTATATAGTTTGTTTTATTTGAAAAAACGATAATTTCGTTCTACTATAAACAATATACATGGCCATGAATCAGTCTTCCACCCTCCCAAGCTAGGCGAATATATTGCGAGCGAGCATCGGAGTTTTAATTCAAATTCATTCCTCTATATACTCGTATTTAATCCGGAAGTAGGACAAGGTGTTTGCGGTCCCGCTTCAATCAAATTCTCGGAAAGTCCCAGGACTTTAATATCGTGGGATATGGGGTTTTTGAAAAGGTACCAATTTCATTCTTCTGCACGTGTGAAGCCAGTCTTAGGTAAAGCTCTTCCTAGCAGTTTGTTCCACTTCGCCGATACTGCAGAAACAAAGGAGCCGTTGTATCGACCAGTTCTCGATATGTGGAGCTGTACGGAGTCTCAGCAGCGGTGTGCCAAATCATGATCATCGGAATTCAAATTCCTACCTCCCGAGACCGACCGATCCCTATCAAAGCACAGCCATCTACTATAATCGGTTGATGTGTTTGGGTTCTTTTTGTTTGATAAAATTCAAGGGTGAGTTCTAGAAACATTGAGCTGCACTTTATTCTTTCTCTTCACTCTCTGATATCCTCCAGGTCTCTCGTCTCTCTTCACAGAGGCGTTCCATATGAGACTTATCTTACGAAAGACAGGCACATAGAATTAGACCCCACCCATTACCTATCATATGGCATTTCATCAAAATTCTAACGGTACATTCCAATCCTCAGACGGGCCAATGAATAGAGGACAAACAAACCGACAGAAAGGCCGACAGGCAGACCAATAGACAGAAAGACCGACATACAGATCGAGAGGCAGGCAGATAGACCGACACACAGACATACCAACCGACAGACAGGCAAACAGACCCACGGAAATGAGTGACACGGTTAAACGTTTTGTACATGTAACATTCAAAAAACATGTTTTTCCAAATTTTTCGCGATTAAACGTTACCTCGCCAGTGCAATGGCGTGGGAGCTAAAATAAAATAATAGACAAACGGAGACGGAGGAGGAGACGATATTCGATTACTTTTTTGCCTTCAGTAAACTAGGGAGTCACAGTGAAAGTTGCAGGAACTGTCAAATTACTGAAAATATTTAATATTAGAAAATCCTCACCTGTGTAACCTCTAAGTCCTGCAGGTCCAGACCTCGGCCTACTTCCGACACTAACACTACTCGCCGTGCTACTCGTACTAGGACTCCTCCTCATCTCCGACCTTGACCTGGTTCTCCTCCTCTGACCTTGTTGTTGGCCGCTTCCTGGTCTGCAAACTCCCGTGGGGCAGTGTTCGCCCATCACACATCGGCCTTCGCAGATCGTGCGCGATTGGAGCAGTTTCTCGTAGTTGTTCAGCATTATGGCGCATTGCTCTTGGTCTCTGTAGACCAGCGCCAGACTGGGATAGCGCTCTTTCAAGCGACGACGTTCCTAAAAAAATATATATAATTTTGAGTCAAATTAGACCTGATCATAGTGCAGTATTAGAGCACCATGAATAGATAAAGCTGACGCAGTATTGCCACAAGAATGCAATCACTGGGATTATTAATAACAGGGTACATTTTCAAATCAACAGCATAAATTAGATGCATGCATGGCAAGGACAGCGATAAATTTCTGAGGAACACTATGAACACCAGGGGGCCTAAATTAGACCCCTGAGGTACACCAGATGATGCAATATAAATCTTGGATTGACAGCCGCCATACTCCTCGTGCATGCTCCTTTCCAGGATATATGACTTGCATGAGAAGCAGTTAAAGGTCTGAGAATCCAGCAGATTCGGGCAACAACAAACAACCATTTATTTGATCAAAGGCCTTTTAAGTGCATATGACATCCAGTTGATCTTGTTTATCCAAAACCCCAAAAATGTCCTGCGTTAAACAAGTCAAGCTTGTGACTGTTGACCTCCCAAACAAACCCAAGCTGTTTGTGAAATATAGATATCGCTGACATTACCATTTTTGAAAATCGGATAAACCTTCGTCATTTTCCAGATCGAGAGGTATGTACATGTTGATAGTATTGAATTAAAAATCTTGGAAAAGTTTCCTTACAAAAACTTGGGATGGAAATGAATTAATATTTGCAGAACCGCTTCAGATATTCCACTGATATTTAGTACGTAGTGAAAGTTAATAAAGGTGCTTATTTTTCAATGCAAAAATAATTTTTAGCTTTAACAGTGGCGTGCGTGCCGGTATTGACATCGATATTTCTCAAGAAAAAAATAGTACGTCAATGGTTGTTTGCTAGGTAAAAATTATTTTTAAATTCCCTGTTCAATTTAAAGCAAATTATCTCTCTTGAATTGTTTTCCTTCGATGCGCCATTTTTGAGTAAAAAAATAAAAACCGTTCTATTGTCTAACTTGCAAAATTATTATTCATTTAACTGGAAAAATTAAACACATTAGGGATAATGAACAACAACAACTGACAACATAAACATAACAATAAGACCAACGAAATTGTTGAAAATGACCCCCTTCACTTAGTATGCCTGCTTCCGCCCTCCTTCCCATTGAATTGCGCACTCGTTGAAATATCCCTGGAGTGTTTTTTATTCTATCACAAGCTGGAACTATTCTTTCTCTTAATTCCTCTACGGTGTTAATGGGACTTGTGTACACTAGTGTCTTAAGATAGCCCCAGAAAAAGAAATCTAAACTGTTAAGGTCTGGGGACCTTGGTGGCCATTCTTGGGGCCCACCGAGGCCAATCAAACGATTTGGATAAACAGTTTGTAAATAATTACGAACCGCTACACTGAAATGCGCTGGTGCACCATCATGCACGTACCACATATTGTTTCTTATTACTACGAGTAACGGATCATCATCAAGCAGCAAAGGCAACTTTTGTTGAAGAAATTTGAGGTTAGTCTGTCCGTCAAGTCGTCCCGGCAAGAATAATTGGCTAACAAAGTGGCTGCCAATAATTCCTGCCCATACGTTAATCGAAAATTGGTGTTGGAAATGGGTTTCAGTTACTGCATAGGGATTTTCTTTTGCCCACAAATCATTGTGAAAATTCTGAATGGCATTTCGAGAAAAATTAGCTTCGTCCGTCAACAGAATCATTGATTCAAATTGCTGATTTTGTGTAATTTTTTGAAGATACCACTGACAAAAGGTCACACGCTTGGACCATCAATGGGAAGTAATGCCTGTACTCTTAAAATATGATAAGGGCATAACAAAAAATCCACTAAAGTTCTCCAAACAGCACTGGTTCCTCAATTTCAGGTGTTCTCACACTTAGAGGTCTACCTTCAGATGTTCCTTTTCGGACAGAACCAGTTTCAACAAGACGACGATGAATATTAGAAAATGTTCTTCTATGTGGCAAAGCACGATCGGGATATCTCTGGTGATAAATCTGTCTGGCTAGCTCACTATTACCGTCGGCAAGGCCATATACTTAATGCATTTCCGCCATTTCTGCATTTGAATAATTCACCATTATTAACAAGATTGTAAAAACTAGATAATGAAAAAGATGTCACATAGAACAGATTTGATTAACAGAGACTTGTCAGATGTGAAAAGCTAGTGACATATTCCAGAGCAACTAGATATTTATTGATAAATTGCTTTCTTCAATATTATTACATTAATTTTCTCGGACAATAGAAAGGTTTTTATTTTTTTACTCAAAAATGGCGCATCGAAGGAAAACAATTTAAGAGAGATCATTTGTTTTAAATTGAACGGGGAATTCAATAATAATTTTTATTTGGCAAAAAACCATTGGAGTACCATTTCTTTCTTAAAAAATAACGAAGTCAATACCCGTACGCACGCCACTGTTAAAGCTAAAAATTATTTTTGTATTGAGGACTATGCAACCTTATTAACAGTCACTACGTTCTGAATATCAGTGAAATATCTGAAGCGGTTCTGAAAATATTAATGAATTTCCATTTTTTCCTTTTTTTGTAAGGAAACATTTTTGGGCCATAGTTTATAAAGCAAACTAACATTAATTTTTCATGTAGATTCACACCCTTGAATATTCGCATATCATTAAGGAACACCCTGTATATCTATCTTCCAGAAGCTATTTGACTGTGCGACAGAATTTTGAAATGCAAGAACCTCAAAAAAGGTTTGTGTAATCAAAATAATCCTAGAGTATAATTTTCAATTGAAACATGATATTAAACCATATTTTCCCAATAAAATGGTGCAATGTTACTGGAAAGAAGGCTTTAGCATAGATTATCGAGATTCTAAGTTGTAATTAGCGGCCTCATACATACTGTATTGAAAAATAAAAAGTAATCTTATTCCACATCATCAGAAACCTAAACGATTCCCAGTTATCGTGTCAATTATATCATACTTCTTTAAATAAATTAGGTCTTTGAATCATAGACAATAATGACATCTGTCTGAGAAAACATTTCTTATACGGCTATCATCGTTTTCCTCATTTGGAAATAAAGTCCTTTAATCCAAGAGCACTCTTTTCAGTCTGTGATGTTCTTCATAATGCGAGATAAATTTATGTAAATGTTTTTTTCAATTTTGTTTCCAATACTTCATGGTGTTTTCTTATCAATTGTTGCTTTAAGATACCCGGTAAGATGTTGTCATAGCTTTCTAGTGCACTAGTCACATTTAACTGATATCTTTGAATATTCACCGACGTAGCAATATCTCTTGATACAAAAAGTATCCTATAAAATAATATGAGATTTGACTTGCAGTATCAAAACAAGACCCACCGCTGAGCTCTTTAATAAATCCCAGGCATTCGCATAATAGAGCGGATAAAGCTATAAGACCTTTGTTTGTTCCGAGGGAGTTGAAAAATCAATTTTTACTTCTGAAGTGAATTAGAAAATTTGGATACCCTTGAATAGGGAAAAGTAAACAATGTGTCCAGTCAATCCAAATTGAATAAATACTTGGAGGCTATTTTAAATGGACTGCAGATACATTCTTCCTAGGGAGCTTCCGAATTAGAATCACCAGATTTATCAAATATAGGATTTTATCCGATGGGAAAAATTAATATCCTTTTCTGAATTGCCACGCAAAAATCTGCATTTGGTGATTGCACCTCCTTAATTTAACGCATTAGGTTAGATTAACAGGTCATTTTGAACATATAGAATCTTAAAAATTAAATTATAATCAAAATTAAAAATAACATTTCCACTGATATGATACGTTTTAAGGTGTTGGGTTAAGCCTTTCTCCAACTTATATTACAAGGAAAGATAAAAGCGAATAGGTGACATGGACACCGTCGCCGCGTGTTCTAGCTGAAGAACCTGGGACAATAGACACGACTAACAACAACCGACCTAGTTGGAGGATGAGCCATTGTGGTAATTGAGAATAGACACTAGTGAAAGAAGATAGGGGAAGACTACCAGTTTATTGACACTTTCGTAAATACGTGTTGTATTCAGGGCGGGAGGGGCTTGAGTCCAATCTCAGCACGTTTTACTGCAGAAAAACAGTTCAAAACTGCGAGTAAGACAAGTTAAAGTAAAGCATTAAAATCGGACACAATCGGATTTATCGTGGTAAATATACTAAGTGACATATAAATCCGAACACCCAGTTTAAATGGTTTTATTTTAATAAAAGTTGGTGAATGTATTTATCTTACTGTAAATAACAAGTGAAAAAATTTTCAGCCCTATCAGTTGTACATTCCGGTTTTTATACTGCTTTTTTTTAATTCACTAACGCTCTAAAAATGAATATTTCAGCCTCAGTAAAGAATTAACGTTGGCGGATTTTGGTTCTTGACATCCTTTACGATCGGTTACGATGCCTAGAGTACGGAGACCTGTACGATTTCGTCAACTTAGTGAGTTTGATAGGGGCCGTATAGTGGGACTTCGGGAAGCTGGACTTTCTTTTCGGGCAATTGAAGTTAGAGTGCAAAGAAGTGTAGACACTGTGGTAAGGTGTTGTCAGGCACGGCTTCGAGAAGGCCGTACGCAAAGAGCAAGGGGCACTGGACGCCGCCGTAGAACAACAGACCGTGAAGATCGCCGCCTAAGATTATTGGCCTTAAGGGACCGTTTCTCCACTACCAGGTCCATTGCAAATGAATGGTTTGCAGAACACGGAGGACCTATTGGCATGCGAAGTGTTTACAGACGAATGAGAAGTTTTGGCTTGTTTTCATACCGGCCACAATGGGTCCTCCCTTTAACTTGAGAACACCGACGTAATCGCCTTGAGTGGTGCAGACAACGGTCACTCTGGGATCAGGAATGGAACAGTATTGTCTTTAGTGACGAGTCTCGATTTTGTTTAGGTATGCACGATGGTCGTGCCAGGGTTAGAAGGCGACGTGGTGAAAGGAGGAATCCACAGTTTTTTGTTGAAAGACATGTTCATCACACTGTTGGAGTTATGGTTTGGGGTGCTATAGCTTATGGTTCCAGGTCACCTTTAATCTTCATCAGAGGTAACATGAACGCGCAGCGTTATATCCACGAAGTTCTAGAACCCCATCTTTTACCCTATCTTGACACCCTGGCAGATCCAACTTTCCAACAAGATAATGCCCGACCACATGTTGCAAGAGTCACAATAGACTTCTTTCAACATAATGATGTCACATTGTTACCATGGCCACCAAGATCTCCCGACTTATCCCCAATTGAGCACGTGTGGGATATGATGGGTAGGAGATCGCTCAATTTGCAACGTCCTCCTCAGACTCTAGAAGCACTTCGAGAGGAGCTGGTGGTTGCCTGGAATGAGATACCACAGGAGGACATTGACCACCTGATCAGAAGCATGCCTAGGCGCGTTGGAGAATGCGTAGCACATCAGGGTGCATTCACACATTATTAAAGGTCAAAGGGCTTTAAAGAAGTGCAATCATTTTGAAATTGTTATCATTTACTTATTGTGCTTCATTAAGTACTTATACAAAATTTTATTAAAATAAAACCATTTAAACTGGGTGTTCGGATTTATATGTCACTTAGTATATATAGGTGGCCGTAAACCGAAGTAATGAAACTAATTTCGTTTTCTATAAATCCACTGCATTTACACAAATATAGAAATTTTAAGAAATCTCCTGTGACATTAAGGACTGAGAGAGGGGGGCTATATCGCACAACATTTCACTAGGGGAGGACGAGGTCAGTCAAAATTACATCTCAAATGGGCGCACCCTGAGCTGGCGAGATGGCATGAGATACCAAATGATGATCAATGTATCTCATGACATTTTTCTCATCAAGGTGTAATGCTATTTCGATGATTTTGTCGCTGTCGTCACCCACGGTACTCTAGCCTTGTTCAAAATAAAACGAAACAAAATGCAGCATGACATGATACGTACCTCCATCAACCTTGTAGAATCAAAATCCTCAAGCTGTTTCTGAAATCCTATATTCGGATTGGCCACTGCTCTTCCAGCCCTTACGACCTTGAGAGCTTCCTTCCAGTTGAGGTTCGTCACCGACATGATGTATGCCACACACACAGTCACACTTCTTGACATTCCTGCAAGACTGGGTTAAACAAAACAAATAAATATTCATTCTATTTTTGTAGAACTTCTAACCACGTCATTCCAACCTAGAAATGGCTGGTTGAATTGCTGTGCGTGTGACTGAAGATTTTGTGCAAAGTCTGGAATGCTCCTAAGTTTCGGTCACTGACTGCATCTTTTTGGGCTGATCTAGGTATAACCGATGTACTTGGACAAAGTTGGATATGAAAAAGGCTTGTTAAACTGTTATTATGCAATATTATATCGTATCTTCTCTAGCTAATAATTAAAACCAAGGAAGTCGAATTTTGAGGGAGATGACAATAGGGTCATCCCGATTGTTGATATACAGGGTATTAGGTAAACATGCGGCAAAAATTCAAGGGGTTATTTCTCGGCCTACTATAAAAGTGTTTTGTCCTATGATGATTTATGAAAAACCCCTTTGTTTCGAAGATACAGGGTGAACAAAATTTGCGACAGTAACAACATTTTATTATCAAAAAGTACATGTAAAGCTGCTCAATCTACAATAAATGTTCGAAGTGACTTCCTCTAGCCTGGGTACAAGCATTCAATCTTATCGTCATGAAATGCGAACTCATTGAAACACACCAGGGTTGTTTCTGCTTGAGTTACACCCAGCAATTATCCGATTTCTCAATTCGTCCAAATTATCTACTGGAGTAACGTAAGCTAAAGACTTCAGGGACCCCCATAAGAAATAATCCAGGGCTCTTAAGTCTGGGGATCAATCCAGCGATTCCCGTATGTTGCTATTAAAAAACCACGAGCAACCTAACTCAAATGTGGTGGTGCATCATCCTGTATAAACCACATTGCAATTGTTGTCGCCAATGGCACACCTAAGACTGACTTAGGATCAAGAAAGATGTTCTCTGATCCTGATCTCGAGAGTGGCGGTGACGTTATTGCTATTAGTATCAGCGCATTCTAGTACCCAAATAAGGGTCTCACTGCTATTTTTTAAAATAACTTCCAAACAATTCAGCCTGGCATATTGTAGCGTACCTTCCGGAAGGCAACGAAAGCTTTGTTCTTCATTTAAGCTTGTCAGTCTTTACCAGATGTCAACTAGTCACTATGAGGACATTCTAAGTGCATTTTAGGATCATTTCAAAGACGAAGTCAAAATAAGCTTAGCATTTGATTCCGCCATAGTATGACAGTATCTACGATTATATTTCTCGATAATTTGTAAAATTTAGCAAGAACTGACTCTAGGTTTTATCTATAAAGGTACTGCAAGAGCCTAATGCCAATATGGCTAGTGATCGGAGCGATATTAAAAACCTCTCTGAGTAATAATAACATGAAAGAGTGACGGTAAAAATAGTCATCCGTTGAACCACGACATACTTGAAAACAATAATTTCTATTACATCAGATGAAAGTTTATTCGCGCTTTCTATATATACTCATATGATCTAAATTTTTCAACACACGACACAACAGATGACATCGAACCTCTTGAATTTTGGCTCAAAAAAATAGTGTCGAATGTTGCACCACAAATAAATTGAAGTTTGATAAAATCTGCCGTGGTAAAAGTATCGTAAGCAAAGTTACTATTCCGTATTCCATATAATTGGAACCCTATTCCAGGTAGTGAATTTCATTTATTTTTGTTACTTTGTTTTTTGAATATTCACACACAAGTGTATCAAGGTTTCCCTCTTCCCTCAGAGACCTTCCGGTCCCTAATTGGACGATATCTTGATTATTGATTGAATATATAAGATAAACGTTAGTAGTAAGATGAACGACTCGTATAGCTTGAATAATTGAAATGGACGGATAATTAACCAGTACCACATAATTTCCCCACGGTATGACCCTCCATGTCATAACAAACCGTAGTCCCAACGAGATTAACCCCATTACACATGCACCAAAACGATGCTGATGTCAATTAAGCGACGTTATTTGTGCATATTTTTGAACACAATTAACTCGTCGCGTCAAGGGATGTGCATTGTTGCGTTATAATGAGGGTTGTTACCACCCTTGACCTATTTTAGCTTGCCTAACAGCTTTGAGGTAGAGAATAATATTTTCGCTCCTCCCAGAAGTTGGAATTACAGCTTCCGCCCTTAATGGCTATTATGGCCATTGCTTGAAATGTTTTGTAGTCTTCCGCCACAGTAAAAAATATATGAAAAGAAAAAAGCGAGTAAGCGCAGACGTAGTATGAGAAATTATATTTTTGTTCTTGTAAAGACCTTCAGTGATACTTATTCCTACAATCGATGGGCCGTATTTTGTATTTTAATGCAAAGAGTCACGTAGAAAATTGAAAATTAATACCGTGTACACTGCCATCCAAATGATGCATACAAACAGCGTTGATAAACGAAGAAAACACGATATCGCTAGAAAGATAGTTTTGAAATTCAGTAGATTCAAGGATAAAATCGGTAAAGAACAATTAGGGCTAGCGTAAGGTCAGCGGAGGATTAAGATAAATATCTTTTAGAGTGGGCATACAATACTGATACACAGGATTTCTATAAATGTAAAAACAAATAAAAATTTTGCTTCTTAAAAAACCACTAAGAGCTAATTTTACATGTTTTTTACAATAATAAAATATAATATCCATACATCTTCAGCTATTATACATGTTGTATAACAGGCACGAGTTAAAAATGATTATTATGATATAGTAGTGTAGTTCATAATCCGGTCAGTTGTCCTTTCCATTATTTTTTAATTCACCACCTTTGTAAATCCATTAGAAACCTCATGTGTTTTAAACTCGTGGTTAGCGAATGAAAAAGCTAACTTAGGATTTTTAATTTTTTGTATCAGCTATGAAGAGTTTTTTCTTCGGCTTGAGTTTAGAGTTTTATTGTTCTATTATTTGTTATTGGTGTCTCAACAAGAGCGCCGGATTTGAATTTGTCGCCATTTTTTGTACAAATGGTCTTTACTTGATGACGGCTGCCAAGTCCAGACCACGCGATAAGACGTCATGGAGCAACGTTTAGTTATTGTGAAAACTCAATACAAAAATGGAGAAAATTACACAGAAACAAATTACGTACAATTTTCGGTCGTAATAATTCGTCAAATGAGTCGACAGTTGGCCGTTTGGTTACAAAATTAGAGACGAAATTCACGTTGCTGAATGTGAAGACCACTGTTCGTCGCTGTCCTGGATGCACTCTGCAACAAATTTTGACAAAAGATCTGTGCTTGCATGCACGCAAGAACTCAAAGTAACGGACCATGCGCAGTGCCGTGAATTCGTTCATTGGGCGCAGGAGCACCACCAAATTTATGTGGATTTCTCGAAGGAAATAATTTTTTCTAATGAGGCACATTGTCAACTGAACCGATACATCAGTGAGCAGAACTGCCAAATTTGGGGATCTGAAAACCGCCTTCTAACCGAACAACCAATGAATCCGCCGCAAGTTACCGTTTGGTGCGCATTGTGAATGGACCGTATTTCTTCGAAAATGCAGCTGGAATTGCGTGGTGTGCGGTATCGCTTTTTTTTATACTCCAACCACCACGAAGGCCTAAGGCCTAAGCACCCATGGGGTACCGTGGGGCTATAGGGGGACACAGGGGAAAAGGGGAACGCCACACGGACTCTGGCGAGGGAACACATGTGGATGCAACATGCACACATTTTGGCCCCGCCTACGAGATCCGCCGGATGGTACCTCCGCGTTCGACAGTCAGAGACCGTCTACCACCTACGGACAATCACAACATCCATAGCCAAGAGAAAAATGTCTCCTGGGACGGGATTCGAACCCGCACAGCGCACGGCGACTGATCAGGAGACCGAAGAGTCTACTACTGCGGCCACCGCTGCTGCCTGCCTGCTAAATGATAACCGAGTTTTTGTGGCCCCAGTTGGATTGAATTGATGTGGAAGATATGTTCTTGCAACAAGACGGTGCGACCTGCCACACAGCACGTGAAACAATGCTGTTACTGCGGGCCAAGTTTCCAGACCGTGTCATCTCTCGGTTTGGCGATCAAAATTGGCCATCAAGATCGTACGATCTAACGCCAATGGAGTTCTTCCTCTGGGGATATGTGAAGGAAAAGGTGTATGCGAATAGGTCACAAACAGTTGAATGCCTTAAAGAAGAGATACGGTGTTAACCAGAATTTTAAGAAAAGACTGACCCTGTGCCAGAGGTTTTGTGGTGGCTTTTTACCGGATTTCCTTTTTCATGTTTAACCGCAACGATTCCTCTTCGTGTTGACATATAAATACTCGCTTAATTCGAAAAGAAATTGTGTTTTTCTTGAAAGTCAAATCCGGCGCTCGTATTCAGACACCCTTTATAATGATCAAAATATTTTCTTCCATATGTATTGCTTTCTCTGAGTTGTGACAAATAAAGAGTTTGCGTTGTTTATTTATAATCTGCTGGTATTTATACTAAAAAAATTAACAAGTAATATCAAAACTACTTGAATTTACAAATAATTGGCAGACAGTCGTAAAAACTAGTTGACTTGATATCAGATTGCTAATATCTATTACTTAACTTGATTTCAAGTCAAGTCAAGTAGCTTGAAAATCAAGTCAAGAAGTGGAAATTCACCCTATAGACCACCTCCAAAAAAATTCGCCTCTGCGCGATGTGTCGTTTTGCAGTGACCACGATGCGCTATCAGCTGTTTTTGCGCCCAATGAGCGTTTTCGGTCTTTGAGCGTAACATACTGAAGAAAATGTGATTACCTTGTTCTTAAACTACAAAGGATTTAAAAATGTGCATTGAGCATCTTGTTACGTAATATCCATTTCCAAATTTTTCTTTTCATTTTGCTTACCAGTGAATTAGCACATTTCCCTCTCTCAACCTGGCGGCGTGTATGAAGTCGTTGCACAATGAAAAGTACTGGGTTAGATTCTGGTCTGGGGAATCGGAAGCCATAACGCACAGATAATGCTTGTCCTGAAACAGAAAGATAACGCTGGGTAAGGCAGATGTTGCTGTCAGTGCTGCAACGAAAATTGGTTTTCCCAAGATCCGCTTTGTGCACAAGCCGTGGACCGTGGATGAGGAGTAGGAACCGCAAAAAGTATCCGGGGAGAACGATCGCTCGATTGTTTTATAAGTCGGGAGAAGGAGGTCTGAAAGAAGAAGTAGAACATTAAGTTTTTTGAGCAGCAAATAGGTTAGGAGGCAAGACTATATATGTTTACATGGCAGTGTTTGTCATCAAGATTATGTAGTTTTAGTGCATACTTCTGCGTAGATTTGTCTAACAATACCTACCAAAGTGACAAACCAATACATCGGCGTACAGTTTTTTCTCTTGAAAGGATTGACAATTCATATAATAAGGATTTTTTCGCGAGTCCACGGTGTAGCACAGTGCACTACCGGGAACCGATACTCAAATTTTCGCGATGAACGGGAATAGGGGAGGACGTATGTGACGTCATCCGAACGTCAAAAAATCACGTGATACGGGTACCCGCCTAACGTCTGTGAGGTACTAGCGGGTGACAGGTCTTATGTAATTTCATTTAAAAACACGCATCTCAATTGAAAATTTATCTTCGCCGCGCTGAAAATTGAGTTAAATTATTAAATCATAAATGGAGGAACACGTCTACCTGATTTTAAATGACGAGGGAGAAGGTCATCGAAGATATATGAACCGCACTTGTAATATCAAATGATTGATTTTCTTGATATATATATATATATATATATATATATATATATATATATATATATATATATTTACATGCACAAAAAACGATCCGACTTTTTATTTCAGATTCAAACAAGACAGCTAAGTTTTTCAAGGAGCTTGAAGCAAACATTTTGCGCAACATGCGCCATCTAACCACCCCCGGTGTAACTTGAAGCTGTCAAAACTTCGAGAGGAACAGGAAATTCCATCTGTTCCCGCTCCGGTTCACTACGGGATCTCGCGAAAAAATCTCTAATATATTCAATCGTACTGGGTATACTCACGTACAGCAGGATGAAAATACTACCCGCTTTGCGCTATGAATCGCTAAGTTATTGTTAATAAACGGTGTTAAATTAAATAAGGCAAAGAAATGAAAGTAAATGCCTATTTATTAACATTGCTTAAACTTTACTCGGAATTTCTAAATAGTCCTGATCCGAACAGAGTCTTGGCTAAAAGCAAATACGAAGTTGAAATTAATATGAAAATTACTGCACTATATTGATCCAATAAAATGATTTGGAAGCGCTTTAACTGATTTGATATTCACAGGTTTTTTTGGGACACGTTAGGCGCTCTTAACCGAGTCTCGTGGCACTAAAATGAAAAAACGTGAAATTGCGATTAATTACAAGAAAGTAAAGACGCGGTAGAGACTTTTCTTGAGAACTTTCAGATTCAAAATGAAAGTATGTATGTACGAGCCCCTTCTCACTTCAGTTAGCCCACTTCAAGATTTGTACCAAAATATGCCTTTATAAACTAAACATGACGAAACTATTTATGTACTTCTAAAACAATTTATTTTGTCAAAAACATTTTAGGTACACTCTAGTTGTAAAATATACATATTTGAAATCACTTAGACCTATAACTAATAGAACATCTGAACAAATAAACAATTTGCGAATAAATGCGCGAAGTTAACAAAGCAACAATTGAAAGATTACCATTGGGTAACATCACCTTTATGTTTTATTACGGCTGAAATTCTTTGGGGCATAGTGTTAACCAAGTTTTGGCAAAAATTTGGTGTAAAACAATCCTACATTTCTTGAAGCTTTTGTCTCAGATCGGTGATTGTACGAGCAGGATGTTGTCGTAGAACCATCTGGTGCCACAAAGTTTCAATAGGTGACAGATCTGGACTGCTAGAAACCCATTTCAGAAGTGGTACATTATTTTCTTCCATCCATTTTATAGCCTTTTTTGAGGTATGGCATGCTGCACCATCTTGATGAATCACAAAATCTTGGCCGGATGTCAAACAGTCTTCCATCACTGGTAAAGGCGATTCTTCTAAAATTGCCAAATATTTGTTTGTATCCATATTTCCATCAATAAAATGAAGTTTTCCTACTACTTTTTATGACATACTACCCCAGACCATAATGGATGCTGGAAATTTCAGTTTTCTCTTCAGACAGTCAACATGGAATGCTTCATTTTTTGCGAATAACTCTACTGCGACTGTCACCAACACAAACTTCGAATCGGGCCTCATCACTCCATTGTATTGCACTCCATTGTTGAGGTGTCCATTGTCCATGTTCTTTAGTCCATCTAAGCCGATTTTTCTTTTGCAGTGGAGTTAATAGTGGCGTTTCCTTGGCCTATAAACAAGTTGTGCAACTTTAAGGTTTTTACTTCACTTTTTTTTATAAGAAAACTTACCTTGTAAGTGCTAAATCCCAGTTTGTGAGCCTCTCTATGAGTTGGGGACTTCGAAATTCTCCTTCCAGTAGCGTCACTCCACAGAGCACTTAATTGTAAATAATTGGCACGCCTGTTTGTCACGATTATTCTTCTTAATGCTCTTCGGTCGACATTTGTGATATTACTTTTTTTCACATATCGTTTCTTAATATTAACTGAACCAGTTACGTTATATCTTCTAACAATATTTCTCAGACTGTACTGCGATAAGTCTAACAAAGTTGCAATTTCTGAGTTTGATTTCCCAGAATTAAAAAAATTAATTATCAGTAACCGAATTTTCTCACTAATAACCTTTTCCTCTACCCATTTTGAAAACCTTAACTACCCAAAACTATTTTAAACGTATTCTGACAGCTATGATTAATCAAAAAAATTGTCATGGCTTTTATTTTTCACAGCCACCTATGCGTTATAGACTTATTTTGCATTGAAATGAAAATAGTTTGATATGCTGTAATTGCAACATGTGTTATTTTTATGCTGCAAATTTGATTAGGGAGTGATAAAGTTTGTGTTTTCTACTATATATTATCAAAATATTCATTGTTAGTATTTTAAACCTATAACACCCTGCTACATTTTTATTATTTGTGTTTGATAAGAAAAAAACTAAGATTTCAATAGTTGGGCCAACTGAAGTGGGAAGGGGCTCGTATGTTAAAGTTCCGGTTGGTTCTTTTCAGTGTCCATCAAAATTTTTGTTTTGTCCTCAATATTTTGGAAGAATCAAGAAGTGGGAAATCATCACACAACTGTACAGGTAAAAGCCCAATTTTGGTGTTCAAGCACTTTTGCAATGGCGATGACTGCAATATATTAACACTCATAGATAAAAAGGTCTGCTTCATCATGTTCGGCAATTTTCTGGAACTGTGTTGACGTCACTTTTATGCTGTCGCCAAAAAATACGATTTGGAAATATCAGCAACTGTCAGACTGGCAGCTTAACCCTGATCGACTTGATGTATGCACCTGCATCCTGACTAATAACCTCGTAACTTTGGACCAAAACAAATCACATGCTAGCGTTTTCCAGAGTGTCGTATGTGTCCACATGTTTCCACACCTAAGCTACGCAGTCGGTTACCCTCAACAAAAAAATGAATGATGATGGATCCCCAGAGTACTGAGAACTCCGGACGTAAACTCAATCCACTCTGGGAATGTCCGAGTGAAGGTTGGACTCGAGGGAACAACATCGATAATAAAATGAGAGTCTGCACCGATTAATCATCTTAGTTTCCCAAATTACGAGGTGCACTCCAATCTGGGAAAGAGCGGGTTGTAGCCTTTATCCGCAGCAGTCTTTCCTGCCCCAGAGTTGTTTAATTGGAATCAGCCTGGAAGGACATTCTGTGGCTTCGCCTCAACTCCAAAACATCTTCAGCAGAAGTTCAAGGCACACAGAACCTTCTTACAAAACCTCACTGTAGAGAAGCCGACGTTGAGTCCAGAAACAAATATAACGAAGCGGTCCGCAGTGCCAAAGACCAGCACAATATAAAAGTCATGCACAGGGTCATGTCGCAGCGCAATTGCAGTCGGTTTTTCAGGACGCTGGTCAAGCAGATTGAAAGGAACTTCTCACACTAACCTTCCACCAGTTACGTGTCAGGATGGAATGATTGTAATCGACTGAAAGGCCAAGGCGGAAGTACTTGTCAAGATCTTTGCTGCTTACTCTACCATGGACTTCCCCCAACGCCCGAGTGCCGTCGATTCAAGGGACGCTACATTCAGGCATAAGACCGTAAGACTGCTCTTGTCGCTCGACAGCAACAAAGCTTCTGGTCTGGCCTTGATTTCTGCCGTTGTATTGAAGAGGGGTATCAGCGGAACTTGCTCCAGTTATTTCACGTCTCTTCCATATATCTAATGAATCCCGCACCTTCCCAGAAAGCTGAAAATTTGCTCATGTCCAGCCCATCCCAAAAAGAGGATCTAAGTCCAGTCCTCACAGCTACAGGCCTATAGCTCTGGTTTCTGTTATAAGTAAGGTGATGGGGAGGTGCATACATCGAATGTCACGGCTTGTTGCGGCACGCTGTCCTCTTATGCCAGCTTCCAACCGAGGGACTCCCAAAGAATCTTTGCAGATGGGTGGCTGAAGTCAGACACCCATCTTGCGGCCAGAGAGAAAGTTCTCTCTGGCCGCAAGATATCCATCGCAATTGTCGGTTCTCCTCTTCATCCCACAACGTCAACGCGGGTGTTCCCCAGGGATCGGTAACTCTTCCTCTTACATATCAACGACCTCTTTTCCTATACGATCAGCATAATTCACAGCTTTGCTGATGACAGCAAGAATTCAAAGCGACAAGCCGAAACATCAATTTTTGTTGAAATATATATATCAGTATATTCTAATCTAAAATCCTTTTCGGCATTCCCGGATTATCTGAATCAATTATATTATTAGCAATAATACTTAAAAATCCATTTGAGTATTTTAACAGTTCGTTAAAAAAGTCCTATGAAGCAGGTCTTCAGGACCTAACTTATGGCCTGCTCGATTACCGGTCCTGAA